AACCTAACCAGGCCGGGCGCGGTCGCTCACAGCCTGTAATCACCAGACCTTTGGCGAGGCGAGACGGGCGGATTCACCGAGGTCAGAGATCGAGACCCCATCCTGGCGAACACGGTGAAGCCCCGTCTCTGACTACACACAGTACAAACAAAAAAAAAAAAAAACCTCAGCCAGGCGAGGTGTGCGGCGCCTGTCAGTCCCCAGCTACTCTGGGAGGCTGAGGCAGGAGAATGGCTGAACCTCGGGGGGAGGCGGAGCTTGCAGTGAGCCGCAGATCGCGCACTGCAACTCCAGCCCTGGGCGCAGGCCGCAGACGCCGTCTCACAAAAAAAAAAAAAAAAACAAAAAACCTAAACACAAGATGCCTCCCAAAATGCTGGGATTACAGACGTGAGCCACCGCGCCTGGCCTAAAGATAAAATATTTTGCTCCCAATTATGGCTTGCAGTGATTATTCATACGTGTTGGACAGAAATGTTTCATATAATTTATCTATAAATACAGGTATTTTATATTATAATTCAAAATAGGTATTTTTGGCCACTAACCCAATGTCTTGTTTCTTTAGCGTCTCAGCTTCTTTTTTACTTTCAAAGTTGGTCAGGTTTCCTGTTAATAGTTAACTAAATGAAAGCTCACTCACTGACAAAACACACATATTTGGTTTCATTTCAGATAAATGAATTCTGATTTGGGGAAGCAGATGCCAACTTAGAGCCTCGTACCAATCTCTCTGTGTTTAAAAGGTGAGGTGACTTGGTGATTTGCCTGGAAAATTGTAGGTAATATATAATCTAGCTTCCATATTTTACAGATATGTCTGGAGGTACTGGAGAGGTGCATGTCTGCCTTTCCATCCTAGGCCGGTCTGAACTGTCTTGTGGAGGCTCGACACTGTTCCTGCTGGGTTATCGTTGGATGATCTTAATGAGACTGATAAATTGCATTTGGGAGTGAAAACAGTAATACTTTAAGAAATTTTGAACTTTAAAGCTGAGGACTAAGCTCTGATTTTTTTTCTATCAATCCTCACAAAAGCACTAAGGTGGATACTGCAGGTTGTGAGGCTCAGGAGGGGGTACGTGGCTGGCATAAGGTCACAGAGCAGCGCTGCCATTTGGCTACTTTCCAATTCAGCATAGCTGCCATCTCTGCTGGTGGTATTCGCAGCATGCGGGATAAAATACTCACCAAGGAACAAGTGGCTAACTCCTCACAGAGCTCTCACGGTTTCCTCTTTCCTGACGAAAAGGTAGGGCTCCCCGGGGTGGGGGTGTCTGCAGAGCTCCCAGGTGCTGGTGGTCAGCAGGATTTCCTTCGTCTGAGTCAGAACATGTGGAGGCAGAAAATGGGGAGGCTGGGGTAAGGTTTGGCCCAGCAAGTGAGTGAAATAGGTCAATTTATACCCGTTGGGAAGCAAGCCGGCCGGTAGGAGTGAAGCCTCGTTACCTAATGCTGGTGCCATTTCTAGGGAGAGAAGGAATCACTTCCCCGAGCCTATCAGTCCTACAAGTTATTCTGTCTTCATTTCAGGTGGGAAAAGAGGGCATGTTTTGGCCATAACATTGAAGACAACAATGCGTCTTTGGTAGAGAAAGAAAAGGAATTTCCCAAGATTTGAGCAAAAGGTGCTTTTTGTTTTGTTTCGTTTTTGAGACAGTCTCCCTCTGTCGCCCAGACGGGAGTGCAGTGGCCTGATCTCTGCTCATTGCAAACTGTGCCTCCCAGGTTCAAGTGATTTTCCTGCCTCAGCCTCCTGAGTAGCTAGGATTGCAGGCATGCACTACTACACTAGGCTAATTTTTGTATTTTTAGTAGAGATGGGGTTTCGCCATGTTGGCCAGGATGGTCTTGAACTCCTGGCCTCAGGTGATCTCCCTGCCCCCACCTCCCAAAGTGCTGGGATTACAGGGTGTGAGCCACCTGCCCAAAAGGTGTTCAGTTTAAGGATCGGCTGTCAAAAGTTTTCTAAATAGGTTTTTGCTCTGTTATCTTTTTTTAAAATTTTTTAATTTTAATTTTTAATTTTTATTTTTTGAGACAGAGTATCGCTCTGTCACCCAGGCTGGAGTGCAGTCGCTTGATCTCGGCTCACTGCAAGCTCCACCTCCCAGGTTCATGTCATTCTCCCTCAGCCTCCCGAGTAGCTGGGACTACAGATGCCTACCACCACGCCCGGCTAATTTTTTTGTATTTTTAGTAGAGATGGGGTTTCACCGTGTTAGGCAGGATGATCTCCATCTCCTGACCTCGTGATCTGCCTGCCTCAGCCTTCCAAAGTGCTGGGATGACAGGCATGAGCCACTGTGCCTGGCCTTTTTTTTTGAGATGGAGTCTCACTGGGCTGGAGTGCTATGGTGAGATCTCGGCTCACTGCAACCTCCGCCTCCTGGGTTCAAGTGATTCTTGTGCCTCAGCCTTCCAAGTATCTGGGATTACACACTTATTCAACCACAGCCGGCTGAATTTTGTATTAAATATTTTTAGTAGAGATGGGGTTTCACCATGTTGGCTAGGCTGGTCTTGAACTCCTGGCATCAAGTGATCCACCTGCCTTTGTCTCCCAAAGTGCTGGGATTACAGGCATGAGCCACCATATCCTGCACAGCCACTCTTATCTTTTAAAAAATGATTGTGTTGGGCTGGGCGCAGTGCTCATGCCTGTAATCCCAGTAGTTTGGGAGGCCGAGGCCGGTGGATTGCTTGAGTCCAGGAGTTCGCGACCAGCCTAAGCAACATGGTGAAACCCTGTCTCTATGAAAAATGCAAAAATTAGTGGGGTGTGGTGGCGCACGCCCACCTGTAATCCTGACTGCTCCACAGGCTGAAGTGGGAGGACTGCTTGAGTCCAGGAGGTGGAGATTGCACTGAGCTGGGATCACACCACTGTACTCCAGCATGAGTGACAGGGCAAGACCTTGTCTCAAAAAAAAAAAAAAAAATTATGTTATACCAGATAGCTGCTTCGCATGGTTATCAGGGTCTTCTCAGGAAGATATGTAACAGTTTCAGCCAGCTTGCTTGCTCTGTCTTTCTCTGTCCTTTTTCCTCCCCCAACCCCTTCTGCTCTTCTCTCCTTTTCTACTGTCCTCCTTCCTTCTTTTCTTCCAAGTCTTCCTCTGCTTGAATGGCTCTGTATCAGATATTTTAAATTCCTTTTTGGAAAAAAGAATGTTAGGGGTAGAAGGTAGTCGATTTACGGGTGGCAAATCCTTACAAATCTGCAGCAACCTCAATTCTTGCCTTCTCAGAAGAAAGAATTCCACTGAGGGACATAAGGCAGAAAAAGAGACTGAGGCAAGTTTCTCAGCAGGAGTGAAAGTTACTAAAAAGCTTTAGAGCAGGAAAGAAAGAAAAGTACACTTGGAAGAGACCCAAGAGGGCGGTGTGAAGGTCAAGTGCAGTGTTTAACCGTAATCCTAGGACTTTATAGGCTGACCCACTTGTCTTGCACCCGTTCCCCATGATTCTTCCCTTAGGGTGCGCTGCCTGCGTGCACAGTGCCCTCCTTACGCTTGGGAGGTGAGCATGAGCAGTGTGTTTAGGAAGCTGTACACATGCCCGTCTGAAGCTTTCTTCCTGTTTCCTGTGGAGTATCTGAAGCTTTCTTCCTGTTTCCTGTGGAGTATCTGAAGCTTTCTTCCTGTTTCCTGTGGAGTTTGGGTGGCTGCGCTTAGTGTGGGGTTGGATTGGGCATGCGTCTCTGAGTAGCTGGGACTACAGGCGCCCACCACTTCGCCCGGCTAGTTTTTTTTTATTTTTCAGTGAAAAAGACGGGTTTCACCATGTTAGCCAGGATGGTCTCGATCTCCTGACCTCGTGATCGCCGTCTGGCCTCCCGAGTAGGCTGGGATTACAGGCTTGAGCCACCGCGCCCGACCTGGATTTTATTTATTTGTTTAC